CACCCCCTCCATACACAGAGTAGACAGGGATGGGCAACTTGGACATTGGCTACCCAAAATGGGGGGGCTACAAAGGCAAGAAGTGACTGGCTTACAAGCTTTCAAGAGGGAACCTAGAGACAGAGGGTATGGAAGAAGGTAGAATCCCCATTTAGTATCCAATTTGTGTAGGCGGGGCTGATTAAATGAAATGTGGATAGGTCTCTTGTGATACAATAGTGAATAATTGTTATCAGGACTGATTGTAAGGGAAATGTAAAGGTAGATGTTTTATAGCAAGGAGGAGATTGATTAACTTTTCAGTCCAGGAGCGTAGGTCCCTGGGTCCACCAAGGGCAAAGAGCAGAGAGCGGTACCCTACCCAGAGAAGCAGTGATGCCTGAGATGGAGGCAGAGACAATGACAAGGAGAGATTGAGCAGCTGGGACTATCGACCCAGAGAGGGAGAGGGGCTGTGTGCTGACGGCCGGGGAGCAGGCTTGTAGTGTATATCCTTTGGTTGGGTGATGATGCATGGAGGGGATTGTAACCATGGCAATGAAACGATATACAATAGGATGAACGTAAAACTAATGTTCTTCCATGTAAACTATCACAATATATTAGACCAACATGTAAAAAGTTAAAAAAAAAAAAGGTGTTCTTGATTAAATGAAGCAATCTATGATGGTTATGGGGAATGGGAGGAGGAAAAATTATTCATGGGCTAGAGGGCAGACACATGTTAGCATGGGTGACAGGGCAGGCAATATACAAAAGGAAGGTTAGCAGAGGAAAGATAAAGATTAACAGGGGATACAGGAAAGAATGCAAAACAAAGTGAATAGAGGTAAATGCTGTTAACTGTTTTTATAACTAAGTAATAAAGCAAAGTATATGATTTATTGAAAGTAAAACTGGTGATCTGCTCTGTAAACATTCCCTCATTTCACAATAAAGTTAAAAGCAAAATAAAACAAAACTCCTCCCTAATTCCCTGTAAGATGCAATATACCACGTTATTTGAGCAGCCAGTTGGTTGTTCTCCACTCAGCCATCTTCCTGCTCTACCACACCCCCAACACATTCCCATTCTCTCTTCCTGAAAAGCCCTAGTTTTATTCACTTACCTTCCACACAGCCATGGGACTGCCTAGTCCAAGTTGCCTTTCCATTGTTGGGTTTGAAACAGTCTAATGGGGCACTTCTAACCAAAAAGTTATGAAGGGAAGACTGGTGAGAGGCTTGTAGGAAAGAGTCCTGGTTAATAAAACCTGCCTTCTTTACCAGGTATTGTTTTGTGCAGCACCTGGATGGATGGCGACTGTCTCACAACCAGGAAGTATGCTAGCTAACAGCAAGCTAATACGCTAGTACCTGGACTACTTATGTGAGATGTTTCCCTTATAACTCAGCTGAAAGCAGATTGCTTATTCCTTATAGCTCGAGACACCATCACTGATATACTGACCAACTTGAGAAATACTTGTAGGTAACTCATCTGAAGAAGTCCAACTGATATTTAATTGCTGGGATTTGGGATGACACAGAGATGACCATCCATAATGGCCCATTCAAAGAAAAGCAGGAACAGGTGTCTTCAAAGTTGACTGATCCCACAGACATTAGCTCCATGAACACTGGACACACAAGACACCTGTGATTTTATCAGGAAATCTCAAAAAACAACACACCACTTCTTTCATAAATGTTTATTTTATGCCTGCTATACACAAGGTACTGTGTTTGGTGCCATGAACACACAAATGAACAAGGCATGATTCTTGCCACAAATAGCTATCATATAAGGCAGAAAGCAAGAAAATATTTAGATTACCCAGAGGAAGAAAATCTTGTGAACGAAAATAAGAGTTTCGAGAAGATGCCTTTAGAAGTACAGGTGTTTAAAATAATAGGTCAAATGTAGGTAGAAAGAGGGGGAAAAAAAAAAAAAGAGTAATCTGATACAATTTGATGAACTTGACCTACACCTGTGGATGTAGTAGCTCAAAAGAGGAAACAAATCTTTACAGCGAGGATCATTCCTACCCCCTCCGTACATAGAGCAGACAGGGATGGACAACTTGGACATTGGCTACCCAAAATGGGGGGCTACAAAGGCAAGAAGTGACTGGCTTACAAGCTTTCAAAAGGGAGCCTAGATCAGAGGGCATGGAGGAAGGTAGAATCTCCACTGAGTAGTATCCAATCTGTCTGGGTGGGGCTAATGAAAGGAGATGGGGATAGGTCCCTTGTGATACAATGGTGAATAATTGTTATCAGGAATGACTGTGAGGGTTGGGAATGTAAAGATGGATGTTTTGTAACAAAAGGAGGGGAGTGATTGACTTTGCAGTCCAGAAGTGGAAGTCCCTGGAACCATCAAGGGAGAAGAGTGGAGTGTAGGACCCTACCCAGAGAAGCAATGATACCAGAGATGAAGGCAGAGACAATGACATGGAGAGACGGAACGGCTGGGGACTCTAGACCCAAAGAGAGAGAGGGACTGTGTGCTGAAGGCCGGGGGGGTAAGGTTTGCGGGGTGTACCATTTGGTTAATTGATGATGCATGGAGGGGATTGTAACCATGGCAATGAAATGGTATACGATGGGATGAATGTAAAGCTAATGTTCTCCTATGTAAACTATCACATAATAAAACATTAAAAACAAAATGTAGGTAGAAAATTAGAAGAAAATGTAACCCAGGAAGATTATATAAACAAAACCAAAAGCAGGAGGCATTAGTTTTGTTGTGAAGATGGCAGAGTCTATCTAGATTGGAATTAAGTATATTGGGTCAGAGGAGGTTAGGAAGGAAAAGTGGGAAGGCCATTTTAGACTCAACTGAAGACAGGTATGTGTGTCAGGCAAAGATGTTGGCACTTAAATGGAAGGTTTTGAAGAAAGGTGAGTTGATCCAAGGTCTGTTTTATAAAGCTCAATCTGGTGACAATGAGTACGTATGTGTATGCAAGGCGGATCTGAGTAAAGGAGACCAGTTTACAACTGATTAGTGTACTGTACTGACAGTTAGAGACTGTACTGACATAATGAGGGAATGAGAATGGAGATACTAAGGTGGAAGATGGAGACAGAATTGAGGAGACTTGGCAATGAGTGAATATGGAAAAGGGGAGAATAGCGTATATGTACATGGGTGGAAAGATGATGACAGTTTTATACCTAGAGACAGGGAATGATCTCTTCACAAAGCTTGAACAAACAGGAGAAAAAGGTTGAACTGGGAAAGAAAAAAGGGGAAGATGAAGAGTCTGAAATGCTGGTGGATATCCAGCTAGATGTGTCCAGTTGTTGTTGTTGTTAAGTGCCGTCGAGTTGGTTCTGATGCATAGCAACCCTGTACAGGGTTTCCAAGGAGTAGCTGGTAGGTTTGTAAGTGTAAACCTTATGATTTACACTCCAGTCCCGATCCTACAGCACCACACCAGGAGTCCAGATGGGTCCAGTAGTTAGGAAAATTGGGGTTAAGAGTTCAGGATAGAAAATGACAGGAAAGTTGTCCATGTACTGGTAATAGCTGAAGCAAAAAATAGGTGGAAATGGTACCATCTCACTATGGAAAGTTGGTCTCAAGTACAACCTTATTGTCCCATTGTCCTAAATTATGAAATTCTCACAGAATATGATGATGTATCATATGAAAAGTACTTTTCTCTTTGTGTGTTTTCCTACTTTCATCCCCAAGAAACTATCCAGTTTTGTGATCATGAGCAGGAAAGGTACCTCCACTGTGGAGGGTCATTTTGAAAAGATTTACTTAAGAGTTTGTTTTGTTCGCTGTAACTTTATATTCTCATTTAATCTGAACAAGCTTACTATAATGCAATTATTTTTCTAAGGACTTCAGAAAAGCCACTAATGTATTCTACTTCACAGTGCTTAAGAGCTGAAAGAGACCTGGGAAGTCATCTCCATTTTCTATACTTCACAGACGAGGAAACTGAAGCTCTGGCAGGATAAGGGAGGTGCTCAACATCTTACACAAGGACATCAAAGCTGGAGCCACAAGCAAGAGCTATGTCCTTTCCTCTGCCCCACAGCTACATCCATGGATACCTAGCTACCCTTTAGATGGGCATGAAGGTAGACAGATGATAGATAGATAGATAGATAGATAGATAGATAGATAGATAGATAGACAGACAGATAGACAGACATAGTAGTTACGTGCCGTGGAATCAGTTCCAACTCATAGCGACCCTGTACAGGGTTTCAGAGGCGTAAATCTTTATGGGAGTTGAAAGCCTCAACTTTCTCCTGCAGAACAGCTGGTAGTTTCAAACTGCTGACCCTGAAGTTAGCAGCCCGATTCATAACCACTATGCTACCAGAGCTCCTTAGACAGGTAGGCAAGTAGACAAATTCTGAACAATAGTGATTGGAAGTAGCAGCTGTATTTTAACTTTTTTTCAGTGGGGAAGAGGCAATAATGGCTTCTGAAGGCATATTTTTGGACCCATCAATTTCTTGCAGATCTGAAAAGGAAATTACTCTGGCTTTCTTGAAACATCAAGCTGTACTCAAATGAAAAATAGTAGACTCTATGTCTACACATCATATTCAATAAGTTTTATAGTCAGCCACAACAGAAATGACTGTACTCTTTGCTGGCATGTGCACATATGAAAAGGCAGTTTGCAAGAAAACAAGATCAGTAAGATCTGGACCTTAGATTATTTTATCCATCATAGAAGCAAGATGTCCAAGGTACTTCCCTTTTGGAAAGTTAAATGAGAGCTCCTTGAAATGAATTTCTAAGTTTATCCAATTCTATAGAAGATGGAGAAAAAAGGACAATTATGTTGCAAGTATATAAAACACAAATGTATAGGCAGAGTTTGGATGCGCCACGTCATAGTAAATTAACTTAAGTATATCAACATCTTTCCCTATAACATGGAAATACACATAATTTTGATTTTAGCATTAATGATTCCCTTTAATAAAGTCTCAGTGCGTCCCTGGGTCCTCTAAGATCTGCCAGTTAGTGGGAACAATCAGATCTTCAGAAAGACCTTCTTTTTATAGAGAATGTAGGCAATGAACACCCAGAGTGCAGTGGCGACAATGTTCTGAATTAGATGCTCTTTGTGTGACTGGTTATCCGCCAGCTTCCACTGAAAGGGGAAGTAGTTCTTAAACACTTCATGGCCAACATACACCAGAATAGAATTCATTCCTGATGGAGAGAGAAAGAAGAGAATTGTTTTCCTGAGTCATATCTACTTACCTATCCTTTAAAAAAAAAAAAAGGGGCGGGGTTTAAAAATGTACACAAGGGGCTTCAAAATGTTCAAGGAAAATTTCTATTATCTTTTCATTCCATTTTTCTGTGAACTTTTTGAAGCCCCCTCATATAATAGTTGCTATTTCCATATCGTCCATCTGTGCAATTCAGCGACATTAATTACATTTATCATGTGATCCAACTATCACCAGCCATCACCACAACTGGACTCCACATTTTCCATCACTTTGAATGGGAACTCAGTGGTCCCTAAGCAATGGTACCCCTTTTCCCTCTCCCTCCCATCCCTGGTAACCACGTATGGCTTTGGTTTCTATACACTTGCCTATTCTAGATATTTCATATAAGGGGGATCATACAATATTTGTTCTTTTGTGACTGACTTATTTCAGTCACTTTAATGTTTTTAAGGTTCATTCATGTAGTAGCAAGTATCAGAATTTCATTTTTTATGGCTGAGTAATATCTATATACAGACCACATTTTGCTTATACATTCATCTCTTGATGGACATTTAGGCTGTTTCCACCATTGTGAATAGTGCTACAATGGTGTACAAGTATCACTTTGAGTCTATGCTTTCAAGTCTGGTAGGTCTATAACCAGGAATAGAACTCCTGGATCATAAGGCAGTTCACCTGTTTTCTACAGTGGTTGCAGTATTTTGTGTGCCCTCCAGCAATTCAGAGGGTTCTAATTTATTTACACCATTACTAATACTCAATGTTTTCCATTGGCTTATTTTATCATAGCCATTCTAGTGAAGATAAAGTAATACCTATCTCATTGTGATTTTGATTTGCATTTCCCTAATTACTAATGAATATTTAATCCTTGAAATCTATGTCAGTGAAAATATATAAAGCATGCACATACCATTATTTTGCTATTACCAAAAAATAAGTGGTGCCTGTCTCAAATACTGGACCACAAGGTTGTTTTGAGCCACAATTTCGGCAGTTCAAACTTACTAGCCACTCCTTGGAAACCCTAATCAGGGTTGCTTGAGTTGGAACTGACTTGTCAGCACTTTAACACCAACATCTTAGATATTAGTAAAGTTTATTTAAAAACTATTAGAAAATATTCATTTTATAACAATGCAGTTCTTAAATAATAAATCTCAAAGGAAAGCTAAAATCGTTAACTTGTATTTTCCAGACAAAAACGAGACTTAAAGTATGTTACTATTGTGTAGAATCAAAGGGCTGAAATGAATCACTGAAATAAATGATGTCGTCTACCCCTCAGTCTTCAAGTAGAACTGAATCTAAGCCATTTCATTCATTTCTTGACATCATCTCTGATACTCCTTATGATGAATAATCTTTAAGGAAATGCATCACATGAAGACTATGGTGGTAGTGGTGATGTGCTGTGGAGTTGGTTCCGACTCATAATGACCCTGCACAGGGTTTCCAAGGCTGTAAATCTTACGGGAGCAGAAAGCCTCATCTTTCTCCCCTGGAACCACTGGTAGTTTCGAACTGCTGACCTTGAGGTTAGTAGCCTGACTAGTAACTGCTATGCTACCAGAGCTCGTTACATGAAGACTGTATGATCCATGAATTGTTTTTGACAGCCCACAATGTGGTATTGTCTGAACTAACCGTGAGACAACTGGAGCTCATAAATTGTACAATGACCCCACAACCTAAATCGGTAAACATGGAGTGGCCTTCTTTTCAACAAATCTAGTGATGTCCTATGTGCCAGGACAGGTTGGCCCCTTCTGCATCCACCCTTGGCCTGCCCTTCAAAGCAAGCCACCAGGAAGGTGGCTTGAGGGCCCAGAACTGAATGTGGCCAGTTACAGTGGGTGACCATTGTTGACTTTCTTTGGGGTAGGGATGACTTACCTGGGTAAAAGAAAGGTGTTCCCGTCCATAGGCCCCTCACATCCACAATGGGATACAGGATAAGCAGGATGAAGAAGGCAAAAGAGCTCAGTGTGGTGACATAGGAAAGGGACCTGAGAAGAGGAATGAGGAATCTCAGTGCCCCTGAGGAACGTAGCCAACTCACCAATCAAAGTGAAAATGATACTTTCTCTATACCCACCAGAGGTTTTTGTTTACTGGAATAAAGCCTTCATTTTCAGAAGCTTTTGTCAAAGCAACAGAAGTTAGTCCCTATAATATGAAGGAAAGATGTAAAAGATTTATATATTGTCCCAAAATAGCAACTGAGTTTCAAGACCAAAAAATATTCGTTATTTAAGTTGTTTAGGGAGGGCTGAAAAGTGTACCCAATATATATATCACTTTATTTACCTGGAATAACATTTTTAACTTATATAATTAAAAATTATTCTCAAAAAAAAATTTTTTTTTTACATTCCTGTGAAGTGAAAACAATTAATTAATTGATAAACTACAGTGACTTCTGAGGAGGAAAATCATTTCCTGGTGAGAGCTAAAATCAACTGTCAGCATTTCAAACACTTTTATCATATGTAAATCTGGAACTCAATGTTAGAACGCCTGTTGCTATGTGTTTACTCTTTCTACTGGAGTCCTGGTGTGGCGCTGTAAATTAATGCAAGGTTGGCGGTTCAAACTCACCAGCCATTCCTCAGAAATTCTATACAGGGTCACTATGAGTTGGAACCAACTCAATGGCACTTAACAACAACTCTTTCTAGAATGGCTCCTCAGGCAGAATCCATACCTCAACTCCATCTTCACAGATCCCTATTTTGGGGCAAACACAGTCTTATTTTCCTACGAAAATTAATCTGAGCATTTAGGTGTAAAGACTTGCTCCTCTCTGTCATTCAATGTTACTTGTTAAGATGTGATGAACTGCTGCTATACTAGTGTTGTTATACATTGTTATTTCCTCTTTAACAGATATATGTAAAGAAAAGGAACTTTTAAGAGAAACGTTGTTTACTTACTAGAATACAACACCAGACAGTGAATCTAATCAGGATGTCTTTGGTCTGATCCTTATAATATAATAGTATTTTTCCTGCCTGGAAAAGAAACAGTATGACCAAAAGAACTGCCTAAAATATATTCTTATTTAATATTCATCCACTGTCTTACTCAACAATCATTCATTTGCCATCATGCTGCTAGATACTGGGATTATCAAGGTGAGTGGAATATTATCCCTGCCCATGACTAGTGCAGACTGAGAATGGAGACTTGAAGCTATGGGACCATAGAAAGGAAGGACCATCTCAGGGAGTGAGGGAGACATCACAGAGGAGAGGCACTGAATCAAGGCTATGAACACGGGTAGCAGGTCTTAGTGGACAAAACAGGGAAGAGCATTCCAGGCAGCATGCACAGAACATGTTTTTTTTAAAAAGAGTCAAAAGTACAGCATTTATGAGACATACAGATAACACAGAAAGGCAAGAAGATAGGCTAGAGGGTAGAGAAGGGCATGAGAGTGGGTGGGCCGGTAAGCACTGGAAGCCTCACTGAGAAGCATGCCTTTGTTGCAATGTGATAACTGCTGATGGGGAGAACCAGTGATAGGAAGAACCAAGGAAGGCTACCACGGGAAAGTGACAAGGGCCAGCTCAGATGGCCCAATCTACATTTTAAAAACAGTAAAATCTGGACTTGGCACAAAAATCCCTTCAAAATGAATGAATCACTGAAATATCAAAAGTTAAAAGTAATAGTAATTTATATTAGGAGCTAAATTTCATGAATGTTTTCTATGTGCTATTTCTTAGAGCTTTAAATGAATTAACAAATTTAGTCCTCACAGCAACTTTATGAAATAGGTGCTATTGAAGCACAGAGGGATTAAGGGACATGCCCAAGGTTACCCAGCTGGTAATCTGCAGAGGTGAGACTCAAACCCAGACAGGCTGATTCCAAGTCTGCACGCTCAACAGCTATGCTACAGTGCTCCACAGGCACCGATTCAGCTTGACAGCATCTATAGGGATTAAATGAAAATATGTAAAATAGGTTAAGCACCATAAAGTGCTTTAGGGGTAAAGACAGCATGTCTATACATAAAATTATTTCATCCTAAATGTATATGCTTCAGACTTGCACTATCCAATATGGTGGCCATTAGCCTGTCTGTCACTTGAGACTACTTAAATTCATGAAAATGACATTATTCTTCTATAGAAGATCAAAAGGAAGAAAATGCACAACAGAATTTCAAGTTCTCAAAGAGCCACTGAGATTGGCTGAAACTATCTCCCTGAGATAATCTATAAACCTTAAACCAAAAATATCCCTTGAAGTCTTCTTCAAGTCAATGGACAGTTTAGCTTAACTAGAAAATAATGTCTACCTTGAGCATCATTGTGCTCCATAAGGGATCAGATTGACAACACAAAAGATTAGATAGGAAATATATGGGGCAGTGAGGTTATGCTAATAGGGTGGAACAATTCAGAAAACGAGGGTGAGAATGGTTATATAACTTGAAGAATGGATTCAATGTCACTGAATCATAGAAAATGTATATTCTGTTATATACCTTCTCAACAACAAAATGAACAACTGAGTTCCTCAGTTGTACCAACCATACTCCCAGTACTCAAGGGTCACATGTGGCTAGTGACTACCCGATTAGAAAGCACAGATAAATATGTTCAGACCCACGGAAAGTTTTATTGGACAGTGCTTTGTATGTGTTTTTTTTTTCTTCTACCAGTCAGCAACTCGCAGCCAATAGTTTCAAACACTTAAAAGGAGAACTTTAAGCCGAAAAACCAGACTGTACAAACTTAAAACAAAATTGTAGGTGAGATGAATCAAGAATAACCAAAGTCCGTATTTACTCTGGCATCACTTGAAGCAGTGGAAAAGTACATGGAGGAAATGTGACAAGGGACAGTGAGTTCCTTATATACCAAAACACACACACACACACCAGCAGAAAAGTCTTTAATCCAGAGATTGCTATGCTTCCATCACTAATGTAAGTCATGCAAATAAGTAAGTCATATCAATTTTCTTAAAATATTTTTGAGTAACATCTAGTTTTGCACAGTCTGAAGACTATAAACTGTGCACTGATTAGACCTATACCATAGAAGAGGTTATGCCTGCTTGTTTTGTTTCAAAAAAAATCATTTTTTAGATTGGTGATGACAACATCACAAACTTTTCAGAAAAGAATGAAGTGAACAGAGACCTGAACTCCTAAAGCCGCTATCACGATGGAGTTGATGGTTCCTAGGATTCCTTCCGGATCATAGGCCACCCCACTGTGGTACAGCACCTGATAAAGACAATGAGAAGGCAACCTGACGAACACAAACAGCTCACCTTCCGCTGGGGACTGACTGACACTGAAAACCATTAGGAATGCATTTTAGTATTCATGTTCTGTGTTTTTGCTACAGAAATTCATTACCATCTTGGGGCACAGGAAGGGGTAGGCCATTGGCAGAATAGTTCTGATCAAGACAGTGTAGTCTGTGATACTTCAAAAGGGAATGCAGAGACCCAGGGGAGCCAGCTCCAGTCATTCAGAAACCAGTGCTGGACCCTGTCCAGTGATACAATGTGTTCCTACCCACTTTAATACAAAATACATAATGCCTTTGTGATTCATCTTCCAATTTATTGTTCTTAGCCAACCCTGTTATTACATCAGCAGCGTCTCCTATCTTCTTTTACAGCAAATTATAACATTTTAAAATACATTTGGCTGAGTTGATGCTAATGGTGGTGGAATAATTTCAAAAAGGAGAGTGATAATGGCTGCCCAATATGAAGAATGTCATCAATGTCACTGAAGTATGCATCCAGATATCACTGAATTGGCCCATGTTTTGGTATGTGTATTTTCACTATAATATATATATTTTTAAATAAATAAAATGTATTTGTATTTTTTAAAATATAAAATTAATATCATTATAAAATTTGGAAATACACAATGTAGCAGATGCTGTAGTGCACCAGCCACACAATGTCCCACTTTTAGGACAAAAGCATTCATTTCCTCGGCCACTAGGATTAACATTCAGAAGTCTCAGTCAAGTCTATGCTCTGGATTTGTTCTTGACTGAAGAGAGCTACCACATCCGAGGTCATATCCCTTCACAGTCCACCAGGAATATAAAGGGCTGATCCCTCACCCCAACTAGAATGACTCTGAAGGTCTACCCTGGCTCCAGAAGGGCCGACGGGATTAGCAGAATCCTTTGTGGTGACCTCTCCCCCTGCCCAGTCCTGCTTCCTTCATTCCCCAGCAGCCGTCGAAAGGGCTCCTCAGTAAACTGCCTACATATGAATCTCTGCCAGTGTCTGCTGCCCAAGAAATGTGGCCCTAGGAATACAGAAAAGCAATCCACTACACACTTCATAGAACACATTTTCACTTTAAAATGCAAAGTAATTTTACTTACTGCTACTTATTGAGCAGTAGGGTCACTAAAGTTAGCCAACTTTGAAAATAAAAACGAGTTCTCATCACATTCCATTAGGCAGTCCCTTGCAGTGGTTAAGCGTTTGTCTGCTAACCTAAAGGTCACCTTTTCGAGCATATCCAGTCACTGTACAGAGTAAGATGTGGCAGCTGGCTTCTGTAAAGATTTCAGCTGTAAGGCTGTCCAATAAGCACTGGGCTGCAAACCACAAGTTCAGTGGTTCAAACCCACCAGTCACTCCTAAGAAATCCTATATAGGGCCACTATGAGTCAGGATTGACTTGACGGTCCTTAACAACAACAGAAACCCTATGGGACAATTCTACTCTCTCCCTATAGATCTGCTATGAATCAGAATCAACTTGACAGCAATAGGTATGGTTGGGTTTGGGTGGTGCAAATGGTCAAGCACAAACTATTAACTGAAAGGTTGGCCACTTGAATCCACTCAGAAGGACTGCTCTGCAGGAGGAAGACTAGGCTCTCTGCTCTCACAAGAATTTAAAAGCCTGGGTAACCCTATACAGGGTTGCTATGTGTCAGAACTGACTCCACAGAACTTAATAGCAACAGCAGAAGCACCTCAGGGGAAAGGCCTGTAACCTGCTTCTAAAGGTTAGTCTGGAAAACCACATGGAGCACAGTTTTACTCTACACACATGGGGTCTCCATAGCAAGGGATTTTGGGGGCTTATATTTATTAAATGGATACAGTTTAAGGTTAGCCAGGTTTTTAAATTTTCCTTCCTTTCAGAAATCCCAGGGTTCAACACCCAAGTAGAAGCCAGTCTCACTCACAGCAGAAGACGGATGTTGGTAAAGGTGGTTGTCTCCCAGAAGCACGCGGTCAATGTAGCCAGCAGCTCCTCCGGTGCAATTGGGATACTTGCCCCAGTCTCCAATGCCGCCAGGGCCCAGATAACCACTAGGAGAGTAAAAAATAGACTTTCACTTGGTAAGACTCTAGAAAGGATCAAAGTATTATATACTGGTTCTTTATGCATCCCAGCAAAAAGCCTCAAACATGTGCAGACCTAATAATCTCTGGCTCTACACACCCTCAACAATGCTCTATGAGCTGACTGCTCCCCAATAGCCCAATTTGTATTCCAAAGGACCCTTGAATAAACACACCTCATGGAGACATTTCTCTTGACGCACAGCAAACTCCTCTCCTAATATAAAGTATGCTTCAGAGGAGAAACCAAAGGAAAGACAATCCCTCTGACAGAGGAACGTGAAAGCTCTAAGCTCAGAAACTCTAATGTGGCAGAAGACGACATACACACAGGGATTACCTGTCCAGAGATGGCATGCACTAGAACTGTGACAGAGATTGGAAAGAGGTGAACAGATTTCAGAGACACAAGGCCTCAGAACCAACACTACTAACCACTGAGTCCTGGTGTGGTGCTGCGGGCTAATGTGCTGGACTGCAAGATCAGTTTGAACCTCAAAGTTAGTGGTTCAAGCTCACTAGCTGCTACTTGGAAACCCGATAGAGGATCACTATGGGACGGAACCAACTTGATGGCACTTAACAACAACAACCACTACCCATGGATTGGATGTGAAGGTTAGGCAAAGAAGGACTAGCAAAGAGAACAGTCAGGTTTCTGAAGTGGACTCATAGATGAGGTCACTCATGGAGGCAACAGAAATCAACAACCAGCAACAAACAGTCAATAAACATTCATTTCCCTTCCTCGTCTCTTCTTACCACATTAGGTTCTGAGACTGCCAATGATTCAACAGTGGGTAGCACTGTGGCCCACCTATGTTGATTAGCTGGTGTAATCGGTTAAATGGTGCCCACCCTTTAAAACACATGTTCAAGTCCTAACCATGGCACTTGTGAATGTGATTTTATTTGGAAATAGGGAATTTGCAGATATAGCTATGTTAACATAGGTGAGTGGGGTGAGCCCTATTTCAGTCTGACTGGCGTCCTTACAAAAAGCAACAGACAGATACGGAGGGAAGATGGCCACGTGAAGATGGCAACAGAAACTGGAGTTTATTGCCACAAGCCAAAGAATACCTGGGGCTCTAGAACTGGGAGAGTCAAGACAGAATCATCTCTAGGGTCTTCCCTGAACTTGGATCTGTAATCTCAAGAACTGAGAAACAAGAAATTTGTATTGTTTTAAGTCATCCTGCCCAACAACACCAAGAAAGAGGCTCCCGAGAAGGATTCACGTACGTAGGGCATCCAGGAACTGGTAATAAGAATGTCAAGGTCAGCCAAATGGTTTCTAGCATCAGAATGAAGAGCCACTGGGGCCAACTGGATACGATGTCCCGAAGAAAAGAACAGCTTCTCTCCTAAGCGAGGAAACAGACATGAACTAAATGCAAACAGAATGGGAACAATACACAGTGTAGGTATCTGGGAAATTGCCTGGAATGCTTTCCTTAGGCCTTACAGTAATAATTAAGAAAAGATACACATATATATGTATGATGCTGGGTTTTATATACATACAAATGAGCTTCAAAAAGGTCACAGGAAAAATGGAATTAAAAGGTAAGGGAATTTTTCCATGAAATTATTGAAGCCCCACTTTATGTATTATGTTGTCTAGAGGCTTCCTCTCTATGAAATATCACAATTAAAACATTGGTAATAAAGAATTCAGTGGACAATTCCACTCCTAGATAGACTGTTGTTGCTAAGTGCCATTGTATCAGTTCTGACTCATAGCAACCCTGTGTAGGGTTTCCAAGGAGCAGCTAGTAGGTTTGAACTGCTGACTTTGTGGTTCACAGTCCATTGCTGATCCTATAGCACCACACCAGGAGTCCAGGTATATAATAACCAAGAGAAATGAAAACTTATCAGCTCACAAAATCTTGTACATAAATGTTCATAGTAGCATCACTAATAACAGGAAACGAGATATGAACAACTCAACTATCCATCAACTCATGAATAGATAAATAACATGCGGTACATGGAGTATTCTCATCAATAAAAAGTAATAAAGTCCCGATACATGCTACAACATGGATGAACCTTGAAAACATTATTCTCAGCGAAACGAGCCAGACAGAAAATGCCACACGATGTATTATCTCATTGATATAAAATGTCTAGGTCAGGCAAATATATGCAAAGTAGATGAATGATTATCAGGGGCTGGAGGTAGAAAGGGGTGCAGTGCAATGGGGAATGCCTGCTAATGGGTATGGGGTTACTTTTTGGGGTTATGAAAATGTTCTGGAATTAGAAAGTAGTGGTGGTTGCACAATTCTGTGAAATATTAAGTACTACTGAGCTAAATACTTTCAAACATGTGAGTTACATCTCAATTTTGTTGTTGTTAAGTGCCGTCGAGTCGGGTCCGACCCATAGCGACCCTGTACAGGGTTTCCGAGGGTGTAAATCTTTATGGGAGTAGAAAGCCTCATCTTTCTCCCACGGAGCAGCTGGTAGTTTCGAACCGCTGACCTTAAGGTTCGCAGCCCAAGTCGTAACCACTATGCTACCAGAGCTCCTTAAGACTTACATAAATACATATTTAAGTTTCTTCATTAAAAAATTCATTAAATTTAATCTTTGGAGTTTTCATTGAAGCGTGGCAGCTATTCTTGGTATTCCATAGTGGTTACAAGTTGTGCTGCTAACCTCAAGGTCAGCAGTTCAAAACTACCAGCTGTTCCACAGGAGAAAGATGAGGCTTTCTACTCCCAAAAAGATTTACAGCCTCGGAAACCCTGTATAGGATCGCTATGAGTTGGAACCAACTCCACGGCACACCACCACCTCACTCCTCCCAAGCCCTTCATCCAATCACCACGCCTTGGATGAGTCTCCATAGAACCCTTAGGTCCCATGGAAGGACTGACACCTACTACTGTCATATTCATGGTCAGCCAAGCTCCATGTGAACTTGTCTATCTGTAGTCTCCATTTCACCTGAAGGAAAATCTGCAGCCAGAGGATATGAATACACTGACAAGGAGAGACAAAGGAGGTAAAGTAGGAATGATTTAAAAGTACTCCAAAATAATACAAAGTAAGCAATCCTTATAGGAAGAACCAAGAGAACTGGAGAGTCCTGGTGTGGCGCTGTGGGTTAATGTGCCAGACTGCAAAGCCATTTGAACTGCAAGGTCGGCAGTTCAAGCTCACCAGTCATTCCTTGTAAACCCTAAATAGGGTCGCTAAGGGTCGGAACTGACTTGATGGCACTTAACAACAACAACATGATAAATGTGCTTGTTTTATATATATATACACACACACTGATGGTGGTGGTTGTGTGCCGTGGAGTTAGTTCCGACTCGATAGTGACCCTGTACAGGGTTTCCAAGGCTGTAAATCTTTACAGGAGCAGAAAGCCTCATCTTTCTCCTGTAGAACAGCTGGTAGTTTTGAACTGCTGACCTTGCCCACTACACTACAAGAGCTCCTTTACATATACTGAAGAAAACTAGAAAACAAAGCTTTATCAATTTATTATGTAGGACATCAAATGGAATAATTTAAATATTTCCAATTGATTTTCTGGGAGAAAAGAGTGTCTGTCCTGTGGATAAACTCAGTTCTGATATTTATAGTGAAACAGGAAGTAATCACAAAAGAGGCTAGACGTTCACATACTATTATAAGGAAGAAATAAGAACCAACAATGTCATCCTCCCATACTCCACTTGGGCACTTTTCTCAAAGGTGAATTCTTACAGCATTTGTATTGATACTGAAATGCTTTGTGAGTTGTTAGTTTTTTACATATATTGTTACCATAAGGAAATTGAAAAAAAAAAAAGTCAATAATGCCTCAAGAGACTGAGTTAAAACTAGAGGATGGTGATGCTACGAGTGTAGATTCTTTTAATTGCTTATTAAACCTTTAAGAACATTTAATAAGCAATTGAAAGAATCTATACCTGTAACTAATAAAGTCCTAAAAACTATACAGTAAATTCCAAAGTAATGTTTTTTTCCCTCTTGTTTTTTCAAAGCAGGGTTTCTCACCAAGGCACAATTTTCAGGCACAGGTTTAGCAAAGACGAGCTCTAACGCAGCAACCACAAAGTAAGTGACTCCCAGCCGCTGCAGCACACCAGGAATCCGCAATTTATCCCAAGACACTGCAGAAAACACCAATGAGGTTAAGTGTTAGCCAACATTCCTCGCCTCATCCCATGGCAACATTATTTTTTTTTCCTAAGTGGGGAAACCTAGCTGTATTATACCTAGGCAATTTTTTTTTAAGCCTTCAGAGACAAAAATATAAGGTCAGGAGACATGGTTCAAACCCAAGTTTCAACAGCAAGCCAATCTCACTCATTAAGATGGCCAGAGACACAGCTGAAAGTCATGATGGGAAGCCGGCCAGCTGGGAGACTAAACTCAGAATAAAAATGTTTTATGTGGGTGTGAGGATAAAGCAAAGACAACCTGTGGTCCTGAAGTTCATCTCCTGACTCTGTCCCCGTAGGAACCTAGATTCAACTCTCATGTCCAACAGGAGACTGCAGACCTACAACAGGCCACCAACCACTTTTCTGTGTTCAAGAGGCTACATAATTGTATCACTAGCAAAAGTAACCCCACAAGGAGCTATTGCTACAGGGAGCAATGCCCCCCTTCTTGGAGATCCACCAAAGCAAGTTTTATGTGACAACCTCCCTTAGAGTACAGCCAGGAAGTGACTGCTACCTCCTCCCAAAGCCTACATTCTTGCAGTAATAGTCATCACTGCCTGTGTGACTTATACCTAAAGACATCCAGCTAGCATGTCGCATACATGGAGAACGTTCTTAAGAATCCACTATTATAGGAAACATTTCATTCTTAAAAAATAAATAAATAAAATTCTTTTCTTCCTGTTATTGGTAATTCTGAACGTTAGATTCCCTCCCCCCCCCCCCCCCCCAAGGGGTCAAAACGTACCTAAGTATATGACTGCAAATGGAAAAATAGGCGACAGAAATCAGGTATGGGCAGTTATTTTCATTTTCATTTGTGTGCATTTTAAATATAAATGCAAGGACATAAAGCATTAATGAAAGTCAAAATGTTTCCGTGAAGTGTCAGCAGTTCAACTTTATAGCAATTATAAATAAACCTGTTAAAATTTTCTGGAAAATGCCAGCACTGAGATTTTTTTAAAAAACTAATAAATTTCTTTTTGACACCAACTAACTGGTGTTTGTAGCATTTTTATGATACGGTAGATTCCATTCACTCACTATACTTTTCTAACTGAGTTGTCCTACATGTTTTTAATGTTGCCTGTCTTCTGTGCTGTTCCTGTAAGTTTGCTATTAAACTGAAAAAACACACCTCTTCAGGACAGTGATCAGCACCTTCCCCAATTCTGACAATGGTACCAAGTACAGACTGCACATCCTTCCCTCAGCTGTCCTGCCTCACTTGACACCACTGAAGATGACAAAGCTAGGCAGCTCACATTCACGTGTGGACAAACATGGAATCTGGAACTACCTCACAATATGGAAAGTTACTGAAATCAAGGTGGCATGAAGGCAGGGTCTGAGAACCAGCTGAGCTGACCTGGTCCTTGCTCTGCCCCTCACTACACTTACATGACCCAAAGAAAGCACTTGAATCTCCCTTGGCCTCAGATACCTCCTCTGAAAAGAGAGGAGCTTGGGTATTTTTGGAGGCTTCTCCCAGGTCTAAAAATCCCAGGAAGATAGTAATAATGTCCAAAGTTAGCAAGCACTATATATACTTTTCTATTAATTATTCTTCTTGCAGGTGTTCGAGATGGAAGAATTATATTTCTTTCAAATTATAACATGCAGTTTCCATATGTCTGTCTGAATATATAGCAATAGAGAGAGGGGGAAAAAACTTACGTGGGCCAAGGCAATAATTGGGATTCACAATGACAATTCCTATGCTGATCAACAGGAAACTCCTCCACACAATTTTCCACAACAATTTGAATCTTGAACATCCCCGCTGCAGTATGGAAGTCATTGATAGAAAAATGGAAGACCCCATAATAAATACAAACCTTAAAAAAAAAAATAAAGCTATGAACTGGTGGCCTTTTTCAACATTTGAACCTATATATTATTATTTTACAATACATGATGTTTTCAAGTAGCCAATTATTGAAATAACATCAGTGTAATAGTGAAGAGAAAGATTAGAACATAACTCTGTTGGGCTGTGAGATTTTTTTTTGACAGTTTGGCTGTGAGATTTTTTTTTGACAGTTTATCTGCAAGTCTTTCTTAGGATGAAACTTCTTTAGTATTGCGTAGACTTCCACAAACTACTCTATCATTTTGTTATTAAGAAGAACAATGACGAGGAGTCTACAATTAAAAACACATGGCTGGGAGGGAGAGTGTATTAATGGCCTGGGGACAGGCTAGCGAGGTATACCCTTTGGCTATGTGATGATGCATGCAGGGAATTGTTATCATTGCAATGAAACGAAATAAGGTAGGATGAATGTAAAGCTAATGTTCTCCCATGTAAACTATCCCACAATTCACAATAAAAACTTTAAAAAAACCCCAAAACACATGGCATTCACTAGCACTCCCTTCCCTTTCAAAGTCCTTGAGAAACAAACAAAACATTTCAATAATGTCTACATTTACTCCAGCTCCTGAAAGAAAATTGAAAGCCTTATTTTTCCTTCTCTTTGTCTGAGCCACACGTCTCTTTTCTGTCTTACTGAGGGCTTCATTCTTCTTGGATCAACTATCAACATTCATGGAAGCAGCAGTCAAGAAATCAAATGATGTATTGCATTAGGCAAATCTGCTGCACAAGACCTTTTTAAAGTGTTGAAGAGCAAAGATATCAGCTTGAAGACTAAGGTGCACCTGACCCAAGCCATGGTATTTTCAATAACCTCATATGCATGCAAAAGCTGGACAGTGAATAAGGAAGACCGTAGAATAATTGATGCTTTTGAGTTATGGTGTTGGAGGAGAATACTGAAAGTGCCATGGGCTGCCAAAAGAACCAAAAGATCCATTTTGGAAGAAGTACAGCCAGAGTGCTCCTTGGAGGCCAAGATGGCCAAACTTCATCTCTCATACGTTGGACATATTGTCAGGAGGGACCAGTCACTGGAGAAGGATATCATGTTTGGTAAGGTGGAGCGTCAGAGAAAAAGAGGAAGACCTCCAGTGAGATGAATTGAAAATATGGCAGCATCAATGGGCTCAAGCGTGGCAACAGTAGTGAGGTTGCCCCAGGTTGGCCTAGGATCGGGCAGTGTTTCGTTCTGCTGTGCATAGGGTCGCTATGAGTTGGTACCGACTCGATGGCACCTAACAACAACAACCACCATAAACTACCTCTTTAAGATTTCATCAGACTACTCATTGAGGAGCGCTGGTGGAGTAGATTGGTTGTCTCTGCTGCAAACTGAAAGGTCGGCAGTTCAAACCTATCCACAAGGTCCACAGGAGACTGCCTTTGTGATCTGCTTCTATAAAGATTACAACCAAGAAAAACCTGTTGTCATAGTTAAGCGCCATCGCATTGGTTCTGACCCCTAGTGAAGCTGTAAATGGTTTCATATACCTGTGAATTTGAACTACTGACCATGTGGGTTCAAACGGACCTTGCGGTCCAGTTCTTATCCTTTATCCTACAGCGCCACACCACGACTCCACAGGAAAACCCTAGGGGGCAGTTGTACTCTGTCATATGGGTAACTACGAGTTGAAATCGACTTGATGGCACCTAACAATGACAACAATGGTTCGCATTTGGCTAAGGGTAACAGAAATGATGAATTTACTCTTGGTATTCCTTGGCTTTCCCTACTCCTGGGGTCAGCTTCATCAGACAACAGCCACTTTCTCTGTCAGGAACCTCACAGAGAATATATGTAAATAATTACCAGATTTCCAGGAACTCATACTCTGAGTTCATATAAACAATGAGACTAAGGACATAAAACAATGGTGGTAATCTTTCCTAATGATGGGGATGCAGAATCACAGCAAAAATTAAAATCTCATTGAAGAATTCCTTAAGAATAGCTGGCCATGATCATCAGGTTACAGGCAGACTCCTGGGGTACAGGCAGTCCCCACGTTACATCCGAACTCTTACTTGCCCTTTGTTGTTGTTGTTAAGTACCGTTAAGCTGGCTTTGAGGAGCAATTGGTGGGTTTGAACCGTTCACTGACCTTGCAGTTAGCAATCCAGTGCTTATCCTACAGCACCATATCAGAACCCTTTAATAATGTGAAATTACCCTCAGTTTGAACCTACTAAACCAACCCCTACTAACAACAAAGTCTTCATCACAATCACTTTCACCTGAGGCACTTGCAGCTTTAAATCATTTAAAAAGTTTTAAGTCTTTTCTTGCACTAATCCCAAAACCCACTGCCATCAAGTCGAATCTGACTCATAACGAGCCTCTGTAGGGTTTCCGAGGCTGTAAATCTTTATAGCAACAGAAAGCCTCATCTTTCTCCCACTAAGCAGCTGGTGGTTTGGACTGCTGACCTTGTGGGTAGCGGTCCAGTGCTAATCCTACAGCAGCACTAAGGTTGTTTTAACAACCTTATGTTGTTGTTAAGTGCCATCAAGTTGGTTCCAACCCACAGTGACCCTGTATAGGGTTTGTAAGAAACCACCATCCTGGAGGTCCAGTGCTTATTCTACAGCACGACACCAGGACTCACAATTATAGATGAGATGATGGTAAACAAGAAAATCATTGCCAGCTTACCATGGAAATACAAGGTCAGCCACCGTCAGTCCTGTAGAACAATAAAACGGCAGACATTAGGAAAAAAGGATGCGAGTACACATACATCCTAAATCTAGAACAGACTCCACCATGTACTTGCATAGAAAATAAACTCATGAGAGTTTAGAGGAAAATACTGAAGTAAAACAAAACATTCAAATACATTTACTCCCTTCAGATTCTGCAAGCAGTCACAGGCCTGGGGCATTTCTGATACACATTACTGGACACAGAGAATGGAACCTGAAGTCTAGTGACAAGTTCCTGATCTTTAAGATCTATTGCAGTAAAAGCAATTGAAATCCCATTTCTAAACCAACTACCAAGTCAGATTAACAGGCATTTTTTAGTACCACAGAGACCAATCTCAGTTTACTGGCGTCCCAAGGTGAGTCTTGAGACCTAAGAAGACAGACCTCCAAGAATGCTATAATGAAAAGCATATCTAGACTGGGACAAAGATCATTTACAACCAAATGTTTAACCCAATCTCATAGCAGGGACCTTTGAGGTCCCGTACATACTACAGTGAAACTTTATAAATGTGCAGCACACTGAGGATGAACAAAAGTAAAAGGCTAACAAAACACAATGTTAACATGGGTGACAGGGCAAGCAATATACAAGAGGGAGGTTGGCCGAGGAAAGATGAAGGCAGCAGGAGACACAGGGAAGAATGAAATAGTTAAAGAAAGTGAAGCGAGGTAAATATTGTTAACTGATGATGTAAGAAGGGGATTGCAATCAATGTAATGAAGCAAAGTATATGATTTGAGGAATGTGAATCCGATCTGTTCTGTAAACTTTCACTCAATTCACAATAAACAGTTTGTTGATTTTTTTTTTTTTTTAGAAAAAAAAGTGGGGGCTAACAGAATAGTCTAGTGGTGATTGTTCTTTGGAGCAAGAGCTCAGCAGCTCAGAGAGGCTGCTGGGGCCTCATCTCTGGAATGGTTGGGGTTCTCTGGACCTACAGCTCTCGAAAGGAGCTCTGGTAGCATGGTGGTTATGAATTGGGCTGCGAACCTTAAGGTCAGCAGTTCAAAACTACCAGCTGTTCTGCGGGAGAAACATGTGGCTTTCTGCTCCCGTAAAGATTTATAGCCTCGGAAACCCTGTACAGGGTCGCTATGAGTTAGAACTGACTCCACAGCACATCACAACAACAACTACAACAACAGCTCTCTAAATGGACCTAAGGGAGGAATGCTGCATTTAGGAAATATCTTACCATTCCAACTTGCATGTTTGAAGTACCAGTATTTTCCTCCTCCATAATTAACAAAGACCATGAGTATAAGAGCAATCCTATAAAGCAGACAAAGAGAATGCTTCAGGGTTTGTACATGTGACATGAAATGACCAAACTCCCAAAAGATGTGTGTATTTGTACAAGGTGATGTCATTGCTGGAAAGTGCTGTCGAGTCTATTCCGACTCATAGCGATGCCATATAAGGTTTCAGAGGAGAAGCGGGTGGGCTAGAACCACTGATGTTTCGGTTAGCAGTGCAATGTTTATCCTACAGCACCACACCAGGACTCCATGTAAAAGGTACAGTAGTGCAATAATGCCATTCTACTGAACAGTTGATGACACAAAGTGAGATTTACAGAGCAAGACAATTTTTCTAAGCACTATAATCGTTGTTGTTGTTAAGTGCCATTGAATCGATTCTGACTCATTACGACCCTGTACAGGGTATCAAGGAGCAGTCTAGCGCTTATCCTACAACGCCACACCAGGACTCCATCATTACAATAGGAACCATACATTTAATTAATTTCTTCTGTTGCCAACATTTGCAACATAACGTTTTAAGAAAACTTTTCACTGGCAAAACTTTTCACTATGTAACTTGAAAGAAAAGTAAAACATTTCCAATAAACTCAATTTTGTGCTAATTATTTAGATGTCTTAGGCTACATTAGAACTGTAATAGACAGCACATTAGAGTGAAAAACCAGAGGGTTTACATTTTGGGTCCTTTTCTCTTGTTAGACATCAGATTCTCATCAGTTACCTGTTTCCTCATCTGTAAAGGAGACAAAAATTCACTAGAGCATGTAATGGCCATTAATGAAAAGATATCCTGGCACCTCAGGGGAGCACTTAATAAATGTTGTTGTTGTTAAGTGCCATCAAGTTGGTTCCAACTCGTAGCAACCCTGTCTAGGGTTTCCAAGGAGCAGCTGGTGGTGGGTTAGCAGTCGTGTTTATCCTACAGTGCCACACTAGTACTCCATGTTGTTGTTAAGTGTCACTGAGTCGGTTCTAACCCACACCAATCCTGTGTAGGGTTTCCAAGCGGCTGATGTGCTTGAACCACCAATCTTGCGGTTTGAACCGACTTTTGCAGTCCAGTGCATTACCCACAGCACCACACCAGGACTCCATGTTACCTTTTGTCTAATCTGTGAATATCTCATATCCAAACGTGGCAATGAAAATCAGAAAGAAAGGAATACACTTAATTAACTCTAAGAGTACTCTGAATATGCTATTGTTTGGTTCTAATTCTCCAGAATGCTGGCAATGAAGACTTTAGTATAGTAAGTCAATGCGGGAAGAGTGGAGACTCTGGAGTCTAATTGTCCAGGCTTTACCACTCAGTACCCGAGTGATCTTGGGCAAGTTACTTAACTCTACAGCTCAAATTATTCTCCAAAAAGACAAATCTGCCTATTGGATTATTGTTAATTTCTGGGTGAGTACTAACAGCCATATTAAAATATCTAAGTAACTGGATGGTGGGAGTCTCTGGGAGGTGCAAATGATTAACATATCAGCTGCTATCTTAAAGTTTAGAGGCTTAACTCCACCCAGAGGTGCCAACATAGAAAGGCCTGGCAACCCACTTCTGAAAAATCAGCCATTGAAAACTCTGGTGCACAGTTCTATTCTGACACACATGGGATCACCATGAGAGAGAATCGACTCCATAGCAACTGGTTTAGTTAACTGGATTGTTATAAGATTAAATAAATAAAGACAAATTAAAACAGTTCATAGGGAGAACTAAAAAAATCATTAGCAATTGCTATCATTGTAATAAGTATTATTACCTAACTACAAATCAGTATGGAGTCCTGGTATGTCACTGTGAGTTAATGAACTGGACTTCAAAGTCGGTTTAAACCACGAGGTCGGCAGTTCAAGCTCACCAGCTGTTCCTCAAGAAACCCTCTATAGGGTCGCTATGAGTTGGAACCGACTCGACGGCACTTTACAACAACAACAACAAAAAATCAGTATACTAATCCAGAGTACTCAGAGCTCTGGCATTTGCGACAGAGTTTAAAAGGCCTCAGTGGATAGACATGGAAGACCTGATAGCTAAATATTTATTGTGATCTAAACAATTTTATACTTTATTTTCAGGGTTTGGTCCTGGTCTTCATTTTCCTACCAGAGCTATACAGTCATAACAATTTACTATCTGAGTCTGTGAACAAGTCATCCAAAGGCTAAATGCCAGAGTGTACACAATGTCTTGTTAGCATGGTAAACGATATGCACTGATTTTTCCACACTTTGGTGTTTCATTTCTAGACTAGTACATCTTCTCATTTGTTAGGCTACTGACAGGACATGGAGACATAGTTTGTAGCCTTCAGTATACAACTCCTTCCCAAGCATAAATGACCTTCACTCAGCAGAATCTATAAGGAGTGGAAATTGGTCCTGGCCTTGTTACATTCCTCTCCTCTCTATCAACATGTTACACCAGCTATCCTGATTGTTTTCAAGGAAGGAGAAGACGCTGACATATTTTTACATCCAAGAAATCCTTCCTAGCCTAGACAATAAAAGATACGTAAAATGATTACCTCAAATTACCTGTGCACTTTATGTAAATATGTAATTCTACAACTACCTGTATCCACTATGTTACAAGGGAGCCCCACGTACCCCCTGAATGTGTCTACACAGCGGAGGCGAGGCGGGGGTGCAGACAGGCGCCACGCTTCTAGCTGGATGTCACCCCCGAGAGGGTCTCCCCTGCTTGGAGATCCTAGCTCCTTCAGGAGAAAAAGAAGAGAGAACAATCCATTATGCTAAGGAGTTTTTAATGTCATTAAGCGTCATTTTTCTATTTTTTATGAGCAGAGCGTAAAGCTAACAACAAGTTTTCTGAGCAATACATGAATTTGCTTTTGTAAAGATCCCATCTAGAGGTTTGCTTTCTCACTTTATCTGTTTTCTGTGCCTTTTGCAGAGCTTGTCAGGGGCAATGTTGCTAACATGGTGTATCCAGTACAAAGTGGAAGCCAATGTGTCCACAAATGAGACTGAGTTGATTAACACAAATGTATTGATATATTTTATCAGTACAGTAGGTCATCAGAACTTAAATATGCAATACTGATGTCTCTTAGTCTATTGTCTTAATCTTGATTCTCTACATAACTTGTCAATTCAATACTGTTATCCTCTATATAACTGGATCAATTCAACACTGCTACCCTGCAGAGTGAAAATGTCTCCACATCATAATGCAGCCCAGACTTCCAGGATGAAGGCTTTGAAAGAAGCTAAGGAGAAGCCTGCTTTTTAATAACACAGGCATCTTTCACCATGAGCCCAGAAATACTAGCTAAGTCCAGTTACCATTACTGGATGCGTCCATCAAAGATTTTATGCAGAGTCTTGATCAAAAGGGGGAAAATGTGGAGCAGAATTCCAAACTCTCAGTCTAGACTTTCTGAAGCCATGAAGACTGGATGAGCCCTCAAACGACTGTTCTGAGACAATCATTACTTCAAACCAGAACTATCCCCTGAATGCTTCTTTAAACCCCCAAGCAATCATTTCGCTTAACTAGTACACAAAGTCTGCCTTGATCTTTGTGCTCTTTTAAAAAACTGCCTGAAAAGGATCAAATTGACAATTAGCAACTCGAAAGGTTAGACAGAAAGCTTAGGGAGCAGAGGGTTTAGGTTACTGGTTGACGAATAATTTGGAGGAATAAGGTGAGAATGATTGTACAACCTGAAGAAAGTAAATAAAGACACTGAATTGCATACATATAGAAACTGTTGAATTTGTTGTTCAACACATTTTTGGTTCAACAGCAAAAATAATAACAATTTTATTTTTCTAAAAGAACACAGGACACTTGATATGACCTACCAAAATATAAATATGATTAATCAAATTAGCCAACAATACTTATCACATATAGAATTATAAATTTCAAATTTCATCCATATTTTGCATGATGCATTATAACAACTTACAGAGTTGATGAGACGGTCAGTTTCTCGAGAATTTATTGCTTTCGAAATCCAATTATTAAAGTCGTCCAAACTGTAAATAAGTAAGAGGCTCTATGAATTTGTTTTTATTCATCAGAATTTTCAAAATGCTTGAATATCATACTGAAAGAAATTAATTTAAAATTCATTCTCTATAAAAGTCAAAGAATTCAACATTTTTAAAAGTTTTCTTCACGCAGTAAAAAAAGTTTACAGGAGTAATAGCAATAGTTATAAATAATCAATCCTTGTAACGGTTTCCTCATCAGTAAAATAAGAATACTTATAGACGCTTCATTAACGAGCTGTCTTGAGGATTACTTAGAGCATTAATCCCTGTGGGATTCTTAAGAATGGTATTGTTAAAATGACTCAACTGTGTGACATATACACAGTGAGATTCAACTAGGAAAGATAATAAGATATGGGCTCTGTCAATACAAAGAAATACAAATAAACCCTCTGCCATCAAGTGTAGCCCAATTTATAGACCCTTCATAGGGTTTCCGAGACTGTAAATTTTTGACAGCAGCAGACAGCTTCGTCTTTCACTTGAAGAGCAGTTGGTGGATTTGGACTGCCAAACTTGCAAATTATCAGCCTGACTCACAGCATCACCAAGGCTCCTTAAGAAATACTATCTATTAAACACAAAAAGCAAAAACCCAAAACCAATTATAACTAAATAAAATGCATGTATGTATATGCACACTAAAAAAGTTTGAAAGTAACTTTGGAGTGATTCAAATTGTTCATGTAATATTGATTGGGTTATTTTTACTATGTGGTTGTTTTAGGGAAAATATAATAGATATCAAGATGATATAATTTACATGATAACAAAAGATAAATATATATTAACTGGATTCTCTTTAAAATGAGATTTCTATTTAACAAATAAAACATCTTTCCCAAAAAAGTACATATAATATTGTTGTTACGTGCTGTTGAGTCGATTCCAACTTATAGCAACCCTGTATAGAGTTTCCGAGGAGCAGCTGAGAAGTTTGAACTGCCAACCTTGATATTTTTTGTGTTGGTAGTATTGTTGTGTTAAGTGTCGGCAAGTTGATTCCGAATCATATTGATCCTGTAAAGGGTTTGCGGCTGGTGAGTTTGAACCCCTGACCTTGCAGTTCAAACCAACCTTACAGTCCAGTGCTTAATCTACAATGGCACACCTTTACTCCATAATATTAGCCTTGCAAAAACAAAACCACACACGTTTTGCATAACCTTTGCCACATCTGAATTATCCAATGCATAGAATTATTTTCTTTTCCTTTTTGTTTTTCCCCCTTATCACGGAAAGTTTCAAGCTTACAAAGAATTAGAGAAGCAAATATAATAGCTTCCATGTATCCAACACCCAGCTTCAACAAGTATGTGTTGTTAAGTACTGTAGAGTCGATTCTGACCCATAGTGACCCTGTATAGGGTTTCTAAGGAGCTACTTTTGAGCTTGAACTGCCGACCTTGCGATTCAAACAACTTTGCAGACTGGTGCATTAACCCACAGCACTACACCAGGACCAATCTTATTTCATTTACACTTCTACACACCATCCCTCACCTCTACCTTGGACTGATTCTTTTAAAGAAAACCCCAAAACATCATATTGTTTCACCCACAATTGCTTCAGTCTAAAAGATAAAAGTCTAAAAGATAAAATATCGTTACTTGTAACTACAACATCACTATCACATCTTAAAATAATTCCTAGTATCATCAGATAACTCGTTCAAGTTCTCTAACAGTGTCATAAATATTTTGTACAGTTGAATTGTCCAAATTAGTATGATCTACACATACAATGCATTTCTTCTCTTTTTTTCACCCCTCACAACTCAGCCCCCATTCTAGTCTACACAGCACAAATAATATCATCATCACACAAAAACAGTAAAATATATACAGCTGAGTAAGGGTGAAAAGGCGAAGTTATCTTTTAAAAAAAGCTAAAAACAAAAACCAACTTAATCTCTTGTATGTTTGTTCCCCTAGTGAAAAGAAGAACGATGCTTTATTCTCACTCTCTGTTCATATTCTTCTGGTTCATTCTAAATCGAATGTCCCGGAACTTTCATGGGTGTGCTAGAAAGTACAAGGACAAGGAACTAGGATTTGCCAAAAATAGCATTCTGCCCACAGACTACAAGGCAGAGTCTCAAGCAAAGAGGAGTTTCAGTTCCATAGCATGTTGTTGTTAAGTGCTGTTGAGTCGGTTCCGACCTATAGCGACCCTGTATAGGGTTTCCAAGGAGGGGCTGGTGAGCTTGAACCACCAACCTTGAAGTTCAAACGACTTTGCAGTCCAGCGCATTAACCCACAGCACTACACCAGGACTCCTCAAAGCATGGTAAGATAAATTTCTTTATGCAACTGCTTGATGGCAGCTAACAATTCCTTTTTTAAAAAAGTGATGAAAAAAAATCCACTCATATTAAAAAGCACCATATGAAAATACCCAAACAACCTTAAATATCATTTGTATATTATCAAAAGATTAACAAGGTAACATCTTAATTCACAGACATGAAAGTCCTCTATTAGAATTACATTTTGTCCCTAAAATGCAATTAACTTAAATGCCTGCTTTAAAGCAGCAATTAGTTCTGCCCACTACAGTTAGGTTTCTCGTACTTGGAATTAAACTAATTCTAGGATAAAGATTAAGAGTCCGAGTATAGGATTCCCCAAACTTCAGGGTCTCCCCAAGCTAGCCAATTAAAGGCTCCATTTTTTTTCTGTTATTGTTTTACAATGTGATAACAACTCACCAATAAAATCTTGTCATTCCTTCCTGACCCTAACATGGAGGGAGCACAAGAAAATTCAAACCAATCTTCTTGTTAAAACAGGTAATTACTTTCCTTTGAAAGGTGATGAAACCAAGTCTGGATCTATTTTACTTCCTTTTTCTTTCTTGTCTAGAATACTGATTCCTCGCAGCAGAATCTGTGTTAAACAAACAGTGGGCAACTGAAACCCTCTCCAGGGCTGGAAGCTGGACTAGAAGTGGGCTTTCAGGGCTCAGAACCACAGAAGCAAGAGGAAGAGAACCCAGGGAGTGGTAGCTTCCGCCTCAATTAACACGGGCCATTTCTACTAGGTACAAAGCAGAGCTGGGAGATTGCTTTCAGGAAAATATTATTTCTCAAGCATTTCCTTCTGTCTTTTCAGTCATGTAGAAAGATTGAAGGAAGCCTGGTGGTGCAGTGGTTAAAGTTCACCAGCTGCTCCATGGGAAAAAGATGTGGCAGTCTGTTTCCTTCAGATCACAGCCTTGGAAACCTTATGAGGTAGTTCTACTCTGCCTTATAGGGTCGGTAAGTGGGTTTTGAGTTTGGGGGATAAGTAAAGATAAAATCCATCAGAACTAAGCTATCAATAACCTAAAGTCAGGGGCCATGTCTTATTTCTACCCTGAATCCTAAATACCTAGGACAGGACTGCACTATGAACACAAAACAAATGTTCATTTAACATTTGACAAAGACCCAACAGCTGGATCATGATCAAGTTTCTGCAAAAATGCAGCACAGAAATTCAAATTCTTATTGGAGACCAGATGTGCTGGACACATTGAAGCTGGACGAACCCCAAATCTATTGTGTTTTAATCCTTGAACTGAAACTATGCTATGAAGTCATCTTTCAACTACAATTTACCATCTTAAGGAAAAACGTTAGTCATAAGCATCACGCTCTTTTCAAGAATTACCTGCATAAGATCAAATGGACAGCAGTAACTCTAACACACATGAGAACTGTGAGGAGAAGGCAGTCAAGGTTAGTGGGGGTGAAACAATATGGGCAGAGACAGGGAGGATGATGGTATAATATGAAGAATGTGACCTTTGCCAGTGTAATGCAAAGACTGCTTTGTTGTGCATGTTTTCAGTGAAAATGAAAAAAAAAATAACAATCAAAAAAGGGTTCCTTTAACCAAGCCAAAATGATATTTGAGGAGTCAAAACTAGCCTTTCTGAATACATTATTTCTATGTTCTACCTTCCCAACTGTGTCCTCCCTAACGTTAGCTTACCTCAGTAAAAACCTTAGAAAGCATATCGCAATGATGAGAGCTAGACCAATAAGGAATGCGACAGTCACAGCTGTAGAAAGAAAAGAAAAACATTACTCAAACTGCCATCATTAATGCTGTCACATCATCACATTTAATCTACAAATGAAAACAAATGAGAGAAAAGCTCTGTCCTCTTATGCTACATTGCCTATCAACAACCTAAAAAAATGCTCTTCTTGACGGGAATACTCATTTTCATTACAAAACAGACCAAACAAACACAAAATAAGGGAACTGTCTAAATAAATTTTCATACACCCCTCCCTCACATTCTAGAACTATCAAGATTTTTGTCACCCTTGCTTCATTGTTTTCTGGCTGAAGCATTTTAAAGCAACTTCCAGACATCATTATCATTCCATCCCAAAATGAATCTCTATAGCATGAGGAAGTGAAAATCATCATCATGAGGAAGTGAAAATCAGCATCATGTGCCCCTGATATGAAGCTTCAAGAAAGACACACAGCACCTCTGTAGGACTTACACCAAAAACGTACAATCTTAACCAACTCCTGAGAAAACAGCGGGAAAATTCAAACTGAGGGGCAGTGTATAAAATAAGCAGCCAGAACCCTGATACAGGGTCGCTATGGGTCAGAGTCGACTCAATGGCATTTACAACAACAACAAGTCTTCAAAGGTGCCAAGGTCAATGTGTGATCAATGTGTGATCAAAAGGTCAGCATTTACTCTAAAGCAAAGAAGGCAGGGAAACGAGAGGGCTGGAAACAGAACAAGAATACAAACAGAATGTCCACACATTGTGAAATATGCAACTAATGTCACTTAACAATCTCTAAAGAAATTCTCAAATGGGAACCCAATTTACTGTGGAAACTTTCACCAAAAATGCATATGTACATATTTTAAGTGTCGAGATAATGAGAGGAGACTTGACAACTAAATGCAATGAAATATCTTAGATTGGATACTAGACGCAAAAAGGACATTATAAGGGGCAATCACAACCAAAGAAATTTGAGTAAGTCTGTAGGTCAGTTAATAGTATTATATCAATGCTACATTTGTGATTTTAAGGGTTGAGTTTATTGCAATGGGAGATACTTGTATTATGATTATATAGTTTAGAGGTTCGGGGGTGAAAGATATATAGGAACTCTTTTTTGATAAGTTTTCTGTCAGTCCAAACCATTTTGAAACTAATTCCAAATAAAAAAATTTTTTTAAAAATGTTACTTAACCACAATGTCATACAAAATTTATAGTAATTCCCTGGTAAACATCCCAACAGCATCCATATTCCAATTTTCTTGATATCTCAAAAATGGTTTTTGCATTTAGTATGCTTGAATCAGGAAGTAAACACAGTTCATCCTTTATATTTGCTCGTTATGTCTCTGTCTCCTTTAGTCTTAAGTATCCCCCTTCCACTCTTTTTTCCATGCCCTGTTGCTGTTGTTAAATGCCATTGAGTCGATTCCAACTCATAGCAACCCTGTTTAGGGTTTTTGAGGAGCAGCTGGTGAGTTTGAACCACCAACCTTGTGGTTCAAACTGACCTTGCGGTCCAGTGGTTTATCCTACAGCACCACACCATGTCATAGACTTGTAAAAACCAGGTCAGTTGTTCCATTTTCATGTCTCACATTCTAGATTTGTCTGTATATTTCCTCATGGTATCATTTAACTTGTTCCTCTATCCCCCAAGTGTCTATAAATTAAAAATATTAGTTGCAAAGGCTTAACTACATACAAGTTCAGTTTTCTGGGGCAAGAAGACTCTAAGATGGTGCTGTATATGTTCCACTGACAGATGTATTCAGCTGGTAAAAGTCAGATCCTGCCATTGTGGGATTTCCTGTTTATCATCTGGTTTGAGATAATTTAAGCCTCAGAGAATAATGGTTATAATTGATGGAAACACAATGAATACGTAAAACATGTATGAGTTTATAATTAAACTAAAAAGACAGAGAAAAACAGAGAATGTTTACTATCCCCAACAAAACCAAAAACAACCTTTTGGAGGTAACAAGGCATCTCATGTTAAGTGTTGTCATTACTTGCTTTCCGGTCAGCTCTGACTCATGGAGACCCTATACATAACGGAACAAAGCATTGCCCAGTATTGTTGATATGTTTCAGCCAGTGGTTGCAGTTATTGGTACTTTTGTTACGGTTCCGGCTCACAGCGAACCTGTATAGGGTTGGAGGAGCTGCTGGTGGGTTGGAACCACCGACTTTGTGCTTAATAGCTCAGTGCGTATCCTATAGTGCCACACCAGGACTCCACTAACGTTTCCGTTAAATGCCATCGAGTCAGTTCACCTTGAAAACCCTGTATAGGGTCTCCAAGGCTTTTAAATTTTTGCAGGGGCAGAAAGCCTCACCTTTCTCACATGGAGCAGCTGATGGACTTGAACTTTAGACTGTGTGGTTCACAGTCCAGTGCTTATCCTACAGGGCCCCAATTAATGCTAACTAGCGTGATTTATAATTAGAAAATTAAAGGAAATGTTTCACAAAAGCTTTCTACCTTTTCTGCTTTTAACTTTAACACATGATAACTAAATAGCCTTTGCTGATGAGACTAAGTCCTTTACAAAAGAATTCTAGCTAATAAATGTGGCAGGAATGACAGATTATTTTGCAACTCTTCATATTGTTGCTGTTGTTGTTGTAATTAGATGTCGTCGAGTCAGTACCAACTCATAGCGACCCTATGTACAAGAGAACAAAACACTGCCCAGTCCTATGTCATTCTCATAATCAGTGTTAAGCTTGAGCCCATTGCTGCTGCTACTGTACAAATTTATGTCACTAGGGTTCTTCCTCTTTTTTGCTGACCCCCCACTTTACCCAACATCATGTTCTTCTCCAAGGAATGGTCTCTCCTGATAATATGTCAGAAGTATGAGAGATGAAGTCTCGTCATCCTGGCTTCTAAAGAGCATTCTGACTGTGCTTCTTCCAACACAGATTTGTTTGCTTGTTTTTCTGGCAGTCTGTGGTACTTTTAATATTCTTCTCCAACACCACAACTCAAATGCATCAGTTCTTCTATGGTCTTCCTTATTCGCTGTCCAACGCTCACATACATATGAGGCTAATGAAAACAGCCTCAGACATACCTTAGTCCTCAAACTTTGCTCTTGAACACTTTAAAGAGGTCTTGTGCAGCATAAGATATAACTAATGCAATATGCTGTTTGATTTTTTGACTGCTGCTTCCACGAGTGCTTATTGTAGATCCAAACAAAATGAAATCTTTGGCAGCTTCAATCTTTTCTCCATTTATCATGATGTTAATTATGATAATTAATCCAGTGAGGTAGGCTTTTGTTTTCTTTACACTGAGGTGCAACTCATACCGAAGGCTGTGGTCTTTGATCTTCATCAGTAAATATTTTAAGTTCTCTTCCTTTCAGCAAGCAAGGTTATATCATCTGCATATTGCAGGTTGTTAGAGTCTTTCTCCAATCCTGATGCCATGTTCTTCTTCATATAATCCAACTTCTCAGATTATTTGCTCAGCCTACAGACTGAATAAGCATGATGAAAGAACACAGCTTTTGTGTACACCTTTTCTGATTTAAGACCATTCAGTGTCCCCTTGTTCTGTTCGAACAACTGCCTCTTGGTCTATATACAGATTCTTCATGAGCACAATGAAATGTTCTGTACTAGTCATTCTCCACAATGTTATCCATAGCTTGCCATGATTTCACAGTTGAAAGCCTTTGCACAATCAATAAAGCACAGGTAAACATTTTTCTGGTAGTTTCTGATTTTAGCCAAAATCCATCTGACATCAACAATGATATCCCTTGTTCCACATCCTCACCTGAATCCTGCTTGAACCTCTGGCAGTTCCCTATCAATGTACTGTTGCAGCCATTTTTGAATTATCTTCAGCAAAATTTTACTTTCATATGATATTAATGATACAATATGATGATTTCCACATTCCGTTGGGTCACCTCTCTTTGGAATGGGCACAAATACAGATCTCTTGCAATCAGTTGGCCAGGTAGCAGTCTTCCAAATTTCTTGGCATAGATGAGTGAGCGCCTTCCGTGCTGCATCAGTTTGTTGAAAGATTTCACTTCCATCAATTCCTGGAACCTCGTTCTTTGCTAAGACCTTCAGTGCACGTTGGACTTTTTCCTTCATTACCACTGGTTCTTTATCATATGCAATCTTTTGAAATGATTGAACATCGACCATTTCTTTTTGGTATAATGACTGTATATTCCTTCCATCTTCTTTTAATGCTTTCTACATCATGCAATATTTTGCCCACGTTGTTGTTGTTAAGTTGGTTCCGACTCATAGCGACCCCATACAGGGTTTCTGAGGAGTGACTGGTGGGTTTGAACCACCAACGTTGCGGCTCAAACTGACCTTACTGCTCAGCATATTATCTTACAGCACCACACCAGGACTCCATTTTGCCCATAGAATCTTCCTATATAAGTCAACACTTAAATATTTTCTTCAGCTCTCTCAGCTTGAGAAATGCTGAGCATGTCCTTCCCTTTAGGTTTTCTAATTCTAGGTCTTTGCACATTTCATTATAATACTTCACTTTGTCTCCTAGAGCAACCCTTTGAAATTTTCCATTCAGCTCTTTTACCTCATTTCTTCTTGCTTTAGCATCTATAGATGGACACCAAGTTTTAGAGTCTCTTCTGACATCTACTGGAATGTCATATTAGCTCCCACATTCTTATGACATGACTCCATAATCTTTAATAGCTTCCTTGTGAACAACACGTATTAATGGCACAGGGATTAATTACTGTCCTTCGGAAGGCAGCACACACAATATTATCAACTGGGCAATGTCAGGGTGACACATTTTCCTCCCCAGAGTTCTTAGAGAATGAGTGATCCTTCCTTAATCTAAATGGAACTCTGGACTAGAAGAAAAACGACACAGGAAGCACTGTATCCTAAGTCCAGAAACAAGGAAAGATATTGAACATGTGATTGTACTACTTCTCATTTCCTTCTATTTCATTAACTTGTTTTGGTTTCTTTATGCTTCATAATTAAACTAAACACCAGTTATAAGATTATGTCGCTATATCATCTAATTGTCTGGCTATATACCAATAGTGGAGTTCTGCTGCGCTCACTGCAAAGTCGGTTTGAACCACACGTTTAGCAGTTCAAGCTCACCATCCGCTCCTTGGAAACCCTATACAGGGTTACTATGGATCGGAACTGACTCGCTGGCACTTAACAACAACAACAACAACATCCCAAAAATACAACAAATACACTATAATTAATTCATAGCTATATTTATGGTACAGATAAAATTATAATTAAAGTTTTAAATTACAGAAAGTGTCAGGAACAGCTCTCCTTTACAAATAACACCCAAAGAAAACAAAACCCTTTTAAAATACAATTAGAAAAAAAAATCTACAAAGAGTATATACATACGAAGGTTACTGTCCACTGGATTCTTATTGACAACTAGGACACAGGTAATGTCACTGACTCCGTTATTAGGGTGTTTGACCAAGAGAGAATAGTTTCCAAATTCTCCAAATTTGTATTCCAGCCTATGAAAATTAAGTAGAATTAAGAGAAAGGGTTAGATTATAAATGGAGAGTTAGATTTGGCTAACGTCATTGAGGCAGAGTATCTTAATTCTCTAATGCTGCTCTAACTGAAATACCAGAAGTAGATGGCTTTAAGAACAGAAATGTATTCTTACGATTTAGGATGCCGGAAGTCCCAATTTAGAGTACTGGAGTCCTTGTCTCCCTTCAGCATCTGTAGGCCTGGCTCTCCTTACAGTTCTCTATGTATCTTGGCAACAATCTTACCCTGGATCTAGGAACTCCCCATTGCAGGGACCCCAGGTCCAAAAGACGTACTGCTCTCATAGCTTTTTCTTCTACTTGGTGGTAAGTAAATCCCTCTTCCTCTGCTCAAGTCTCTCTCCTTCTATGTCTTTTACGTAAGATAAACGGGTTACATGCCACATCCTTGGGAATTGCCCATAAATCATATCAGGGTGGTGATGGGATTAAAGGTAGTGTATCCCACACTTAATCCTTTTATTGGTTGATCACATCAAATCGTATCACGGGGATAGCTACATGTCAACTGCCAAGCCATTGAGAATCCTGGCCTAGTTAAGTTGACACAAAACCTTAACTATCACACAGAGTGATCTGCATTCCTGGGTGTAGATCAGAAAAGAGACTGAAAACTCTTTTAGAGGGCAGAAAGGCTAAAAGGCAGGGGGTGGCGGGGAGTGCGGAGGGAATGAGGGGAGGGGAGTAGAGAGAAAATGTAGACTTCAGTTAGGGTAACATGAAAGCAGGTACAAACCTACAAATTTCCCTGTCTTCCAAAGTATTATTGAGCTGCAGGATGGAGCCATGCTGGGTGCTCACGGCCACAGCTGCGATGCTAGGCTTCCCAGGTTTTTCACTCCTCGAAACATTTACCAGAGTCTGATACAAGCACTACATAAAATAAAAACAAAAAAGTAAACTGCTAGGGGTCTTTGGAAATCTTAACTTGTGATATGAACATCCAACCAAATACTCTGATATGACTTTTTCTTCATATTCATATAATCTTTTAATTTCAGCAATTTAAATAAAATTTACTTATAAAAACTTGTTAAAACAATAACGAATTAAGTATCCATATAGAATCATAAAATCTATTCATAGGTATATTTTTTACATCATTAATAAATATTGTTTTTGTTAAGTGTCATCAAGTTAGTTCTGACGCACAGCAAACCTGTATAGGGTTTCCAAGGAGCAGCTAGTGAGTTTGAACCACGGACCTTGCAGTTCAAACCGTCCTTGCAGCTAGTGCATCATTCCACAGGATAAGCACTTGACCACAAGATCGGTTTGAACTGCCACACCAAGACTCCAATAATAAATATTGTTGTTGTTGCCATCAAGTCAGTTCCAACTCATAGCGACCCTGTGTAGGGTTTAAATTTTGCACCAGGCAGCATTTCATTCTGTTATACATAGGGTCCATATGAATCAGAACTGACTAGATAGTAACTAACAATTGTTTCCCTTTAGGGAGCCCTGGAGGAACACTGAGTAAGATTGGTGGTTTGAATCCACCAGCTGCTCTGTGAGAGACAGATGTGGCAATCTGCTGCCTTAAAGAAACCCCATCTGGAAGTTCTACTCTTCCCTCTACGGTTGCTAGGAGTCAGAATTGAATAGCCTTTTTTTTTTTTTTTTCTAATTGCATTACTTAATGTCATTTAACAAATAAATTTCCATGATTCTACCTAATTTGCATATTTAGAACTTTAATGGTTGCTTTATATTTCATCAAGTATAATTGTGGGAATTTAAGTTTCTTTAAAAGCTTTCTTGGATAAATCTTTTTTGCCATTTTTGCTATATAAGTTATATCATTTTTTAAAAATGAGTCTTGTGCCTTTCCATTCTTTTCCTAAGATAAATTTTCAAAAGTAAATTAATGGGGGAGCGCTGTGGACCCTGCTGCCGCTGCTGGCAGCCCTGCTCCAGGCATCTGTAGAGGCTTCTGGTGAAATAGCATTATGCAAGACTGGGTTTCCTAAAGATGTTTACAGTGGAGTCTTTTGGAAAGATGTGCACGAAGGACAGCCTCTTCTCAATGTGAAATTTAGCAACTGCAATGGAAAAAGGAAAGTACAATATGAAAGCAGTGAACCATCAGATTTTCAGATGGATGAAGATGGGATGGTCAATGCAGTGAGAAGCTATCCACTGTCTTCTGAGCAGGCCAAGTTCCTGATCTATGCCCAGGACAAAGAAACCCAGAAGGAGTGGCAAGTAGCAGTAAAACTGAGCCACAAGTCAACCTTGATTGAGGAGTCATTGAAGGAATCACAAGAAATTGAAGAGATACTATTCCCAAGACAATCCACAAAGCACAGTGGCTACCGACAAAGGCAGAAGAAAGACTGGGTCATCCCTCCTATCAACTTGCCAGAAAATGCCAAAGGACCTTTTCCTCAAGAGCTTGTCAGGATCAGGTCTGACAGAGATAAGAAACTTTCACGGCGGTACAGTGTAACTGGGCCAGGAGCAGACCAGCCACCAACAGGGATCTTCATCATCAACCCCATCTCAAGTCAGTGACCAAGCCTCTGGATCACGAGCAGATAGCCCAATTTCATTTGAAGGCACATGCTGTGGATATTAGTGGAAACCAAGTGGAGAACCCCATTGACATTGTCATCAATGTTATTGATGTGAATGATAATAGACCCAAGTTCTCATGCCAGGTCTGGAATGGGACAATTCCTGAGGGATCAAAGCCTGGAACATACATGATGGCTGTCACTGTGATTGATGCTGATGATCCAAATACCCTAAATGGGATGTTGAGGTACACAATCCTGTCTCAGGCACCAAGCACCCCGTCACCCAACATGTTTACACTTAACAATGAAATGGTGATATTATCACAGTGGCAGCTGGACTTGATAGAGAAAAAGTGCAACCGTATATGTTAATAATTCAAGCTTCAGACATGGAAGGAAATCCCATGTATGGCCTTTCCAACACAGCCATGACTGTGATCACCATGACCAACATCAATGACAATCCTCCAGAGTTTACAGCTGTGAAGTTCTATGGCGAAGTCCCTGAGGATACGTTTAATGTCGTAGTAGCCAATCTAACAGTGACGGATAAGGATCAGCCTCATCCGCCAGCATGGAAGGCAGTGTACAGAATCAGCGGTGGCGATCCTACAGGGCATTTCGTCATGCGGACTGACCCCAACAGCAATGACGGCTTAGTCACTGTGGTCAAACCAATCAAATTTGAAACAAATAGGATGTTTACCCTTACTGTCGCTGCAGAAAATCAAGTGCCATTAGCCAAGGGTATTCAGCACCCACCTCAGTCAACTGCAACGGTATCTGTTACAGTTATTGATGTTAATGAAAACCCATATTTTGTACCCAACCCCTAGATAATTCACCAAGAAGAAGGTTTTCATGCTGGTACTGTGTTAACTACTTTCACTGCTCAGGATCCAGACCGATATATGAAGCAAAATATTAAATACACAAAATTATCTGATCCTGCCAGTTGGCTAAAATTAGATCCTGTGAACAGACAAATAAGTACAATTGCTGTTTTAGACAGAGAATCCCCAAAGGTGGAAAACAATATATATAATGGTACTTTCCTTGCTACAGACAATGGAATTCCTCCCAAGAGTGGAACCGAAACACTGCAGATCTATTTACTTGATATTAATGACACTGCCCCTCAAGGGTTACCTCAAGAGGCAGAGACTTGCGAAACTCCAGACCCCAATTCAATTAACATCACTGTGCTGGATTACGACATTGATCCAAATGCTGGACCATTTGCTTTTGATCTTGCTTTGTCTCCATTGGCTATTAAAAAAACCTGGACCATCACTCAGCTGAATAGTGATTTTGCTCAGCTAAATTTAAAGATAAAATTTCTTGAATCTGGTACATATGAAGTCTCAATCATAATCACAGATTCGGGCAATCCTCCCAAATCAAATACTTCCACCCTCCGCTTGAAGGTTTGCCAGTGTGACTCCAATGGGGACTGCACAGACGTGGACAGGATTGTGGGTACAGGACTGGGCACTGGCTGGCATCACCATCCTGCTTTCTGCATCATCATCCTGGTTTTGATGTTTGTGGTATGGATGAAACGCCGTGATAAAGAACGCCAGGCCAAGCAACTTTTGATTGATTCAGAAGATAATATTTTTAAATATGATGAAGAAGGTGGAAGAGAAGACCAGGACTATGACTTAAGCCAACTGCAGCAGCCTGACACCGTGGAGCCTGCTGCCATCAAGCCTGTTGGAATCTGCTGACTGGATGAGAGACCCATCCACCAACAGCCCCAGTATCCAGTCAGGTCTGCAGCCCCTTACCCTGGGGACATCGAGGACTTCATTAATGAGGGCCTTGTAACTACTGACAATGATCCCACAGCTCCACCCTATAACTCCCTCTTAGTCTTTGACTCTGAAGGCAGTGGCTCCACTGCTGGGTCCTTGAGCTCCGTAAATTCCTCCAGTAGTGGTGGTGAGCAGAACTATGATTATCTGAACGACTGGGGGCCACGGTTCAAGAAACTCGCTGACATGTATGGTGGAGGTGACGACTGAACTTCAGGGTGAACATGGTTTTTGGACAGGTATAAACATTTCAACTGATATTCCCAAAAAGCATAGAGAAGCTAGGCTTTAACTTCGTAGTCTGCTAGCACAGGCTTTGGCATAGGCTACAAACCAATTTGGGCCCAGAAGGAATATCAGTGATCCAACACTGTTTGGAAAAACACTGAGCTCAGTTACACTTGAATTTCACAGAAGCACTGTGATTTTATGTGCTTTTTTGTACCTTTTTCAGATTGGAATTAGTTTTATGTTTAAGGCTTTAATGGTACTGATTTCTGAAATGATAAGTAAAAGACAAAATATTTTGTGGCAGGAGCAGTAAGTTAAACCATGATATGCTTCAACATGCTTTTGTTACATTATTGCATTTGCTTTTATTAAAATACAGAATTAAACAAAACACTCATGGAGCAATTTTATTATCTTGGGAAATGAGACCATGAGATTGGATAAATGTACATTGTGTCTAGTTTTAGACTTTAGATTTTTCCCACTAAAATCTTAAAATTTACGCAGCTGGTTGCAAATAAAGGGAGTTTTCATATCACTAATTTGTAGCAAAACGGAATGTTTTCATAAACTAGAATGTTAGACACATTTTGGTGTTAATTCATGTATACTTTTTTATTTACTGTATTTTTTGTACTTCAATGTAAAAATAGCATGTGTGCACAATGTTTAATAGTATGTGTACATAGTGTTTAATTGGCATAGTCGATGGAGAAGTACATGTATATGTATTATGTGGACTATGGATTCAGTTTTTTTGCGTGTTTATAACTTTCATTATTGATAAAGTATTTACAAAAATAAGTGACATTTGATTCAATTGTTGAGCTGTAGTTAGAATACTCATTTTTAAATTTTTTTGTTTGCTTGCTTGGGGAGGGCGAGAAGTTCTTAGCACAAATGTTTTACATAATTTGTACCAAAAAAAAGGAAAGAAAAAGAGTGAAAGTGGGGTGCTTGACACTGGTGGCACTACTGTGTGTTAAAAAAAAAAGGAAAAAAGGGGGGGACACTTTTAAATGGGAGAGAGACTTCTGACAACAGCATTGCCTCTGTATGGTGTACCAGAATATAAATGAAACACCTCTGACCCCAGCGTTCTGAATAAAATGCTAATTTTGAAAAAAAAAAAGAAAAAGTAAATTATTGGGGGGAGATCATTTTAATGGTTCCTGTAACATGCAGTCAAATAGTACTCAAATAAATTTATTATATATTTCTATTTCTCTCTACTTCTTTATGTAGTCTGTTTTTACTTACCTGTAAAAACGTGAAGTGCTTCAGGTATTAAGGATCATAGCAAACTAGGCCCCAAAACCAACAAACTTGGGATGAGTACAATACGTACATGATAGCAGCTTTCAGAATTCCAGTAGACGGTCAGACTTGTCTCGAGGAGTTCATTATGGATGAGCAGTAAAGCTTGATCCATCTTCAACTCTACATGCTTTTTTTGGTCTAAGTCTGGGAAGAATTAGAAAAAAAACAAAAAAGGGGGGGTGTTTAAAAAATAGTAACAAGGCACTTGAAAGATGTGTTTAAAAACAAGGTGCACCTGTGTGAATAGTGGCTTCACAGTGTTCTCAGATGCTGCCGAGTCAAGTTGTCGGAGAATTGCTTTATAGGGTTCTCTAGGCTGTAACCTTGTTAGGTCTTTTACCTGCATAGTTGCTGGGTGGTTTGAACCACCAACCTTGTAGTTAGCAACTGAGCACTTAATTTAAATGCTTGTACTCTGAGAGATACCCACTTCCACCCTAGGGGCTTCTGGGGCCTCTTCTTCCTTACCTTGTATATACTTATACGTACACATAGTTCCCCTTTTGCACAGTTAGCTCTACTAGAATCAAGAATTCTGTCAACACTACCTAGACAGCAATAGAACTGTTTCAGTTAGGAACTTACATCTATCATATGCTAATGTGTAGCATAAGCTCTGGACTGCTAATGCAAGGTTGGCAGTTCAAATCCGACAGTTGCTTCTTGGAAACCCTGTGCAGTCAAAAGCGATTCCATGAACTTTAACAACAAGGTGTAGGAGGCACTGAATTTAGTAGTTTTCACATATGTTTTAGTCTTAGTATGATAACCTCCTGAACTATGGATTTTCTGCATTGTAGAAAGTGAAGAAATTAAGGCTCCCAGAAATTAGGTCATTGTCAATAGTCATAGTTTTTAAGTAAAATCATGAATTTGAACCCAATTTGTGTGATTCCAAAGTCCAAAATATTTCCTTCTCTTTGTTATTCATCTCTGAGCTCAGCAGGGCATCATCTGACAGCTGGTCAGAAATGCAGAACATCAGAATTTCTCACTCACAGTCTGTATGTTAGCAGGAGCCAGGAGATTTATACATACTTAATAAAGTTTGAGAAGCACTGCTTTAGACCAATGTGGCTTGGAGTCCTGAATCTCCTTCCAGTTTTCCTGGGAGACTTGTGACAGGTAAGAAGCATGGATAAACCTGTCTTAAAGACAGAAATATCCACTGCTCACAAACTATCCAGTTTACTGTTTACCAGATAGTTTCCTGGATATCCATGGGGGTGACACAAAGACAATGCATAACCTAAATTATGTCTCCCAGTAAGATATGAAAGCAAAGTGAACTGCTATTAGCTAAAGTGAAAACAAAGTGGTTCACATAAACCAATTGGGTTACTTATATCAACTGTTTTATAGGAAAGAGGAATTGGATCAATATACCTTATAGTTTCTACGCAAAAGGAAAACTAATGACAAAATTAGACAGTTGATAACCTAGCCTCCTTTGCCATAGGAACACTTCCTTCAGGACTCCCTAGTTAGTAATTTGAATGGCTAACAACTTGGGAAATTATTTTCTATAGACGGTCTGTTGTTAGTTATCATGAGTTGATTTCAACTCATGCCGACCTTATAGAGAAGGAAACAATACCTAGTCCTACACCATCTTCATGGTCTTCAATATGTTTGAGCCCATTGGTGTGGTTTTTTGCTATCCATGAGGTTTTCCTTGGCTAATATTCAGAAGTAGATCACCAGGCCTTTCTTCCTACTCCGTCTTAGTCTGGAAGCTCTGCTGACACCTGTCAAACATGGGTGACCCTGCTGGTATTTGAAATACCAGTGGCATAGCTTCCAGTATCATAACTACAGCCTACATTCATTATTTTTTTAAAATTTACTGTATGTCGCCCTAATTTAGGTCACAGTGAAGACAAAACATCCACTATATAACCCTTAGTAATCTACTAAACTGAATGTTCTTTAGGCTAAATAATCTTTATCAATCACTTTTTCCTATTCTTTTGGGTCCTTCAAAGTTTTCAGTGGTAGCAGTGTCTGGATCAAGTTATACATTAACTGTACAGCCTGTAAGTTAGATCAAACTGACTCTGAATTCCACCTTGCCTCAGTTCCCTCATTAATAAATTGCTGTTGTTGTTAAGTGGCATCAAGTTGGTTCCAACTCATAGTTACCCTGTATAGGATTTCCAAGAAGCAGCTGGTGAGTTTGAACTGCCGACCTTGCGGTTCAAACTGACCTTACAGTCCAGCATTTATCCTACAGCACCACACCAGGACTTCTCAGTGGGATTAGGAATATATGTTTAACTCTTTTTTAAAGTTGTTTCTTCTTTTTTTTTTTT